GAGCCTGAAGGTCATGTGCTTTTCCCTGATTTCCTTCTGCTTGTCTTTGGCTCAGAGTGAAATACTAATGTATTGTGGGCAGGGTTGGAGCCACGGGGCCAGAGGGGAGCTTGGAGCTGTCGGGGTGCACACTCCTGTCTAGACCACTGCCGCTGTCTCAGGGCCCTGCTGCAGCTGCGTCTCGAGCACAGGCGGCAAACCCAGGGCCGCGGGCTGCACCCAGCCCAGCACCTTGTTCCTACCCGGCGGCCGTGCTGCTGAGCTCTCGCTTAGCTGTTAAGGAGCAGTTCCATTTATACAGCCCTAAAATGACATTCAGCCCTTTGAAGGCAACCGTGAGGCTGACGTGGCCCCTGGTGAAAGTGAGTCTGACACCCCTGCCCCTGAGTGACGAGCGGAGGGGCCTGTGTGTGGGAGTGAGGGCAGCCCGAAGGCGGGCGGCCCTGCCACGCAGCCCGGGGAGCCTGGGGCCTGGAGGGCTGCTGAAGAAGCAGAGCCTCCATCCCAGCCTCCGGAGGGTCTGGTCTCATCGGGGAGTAGAGCGTTGGTGGCAGCGCCTGGTTCCAGGGGCAGCGGCACACACTCGGGGAGCCATTGTTCACACCGGGTCTCCGGGGGGCAGGACTGGAGAGAGGCAGAGATGTATTTGATCACTTGAGCTCAGGAGTGGCTCCACCCAGGGGGGCAGGGGGCGAGGCGGGGCCTCGGTGTCCTGCGAGCTCCTGTATCCGGTGAGCACTCCCACGTCCGTGTCTTCCCTCTGCAGGGCCCTGAGCACCCCAACCCTGGGAAGCCATTCACCGCCAGAGGGTTTCCCCGCCAGTGCTACCTTCCGGACAATGCCCAGGGCCGCAAGGTAAAGGCCGCTCCCCCCCCCGCCACTGCCACCCTTGGGGACGGCTGCCCCCCCATGCTCACAGTGGGAGGCCTGTGCAAGCTGCTGGCTCCGGAACGGGAGAGAGCAGGGAGGCCTAGACTCACTGATGGTGGGGGAGCTCATCCTAGATGTACCTGAAAGAGGGAATAACCCAGGTGTTTGGGGGCCGAGTAGGTGGCAGCACTGTCTCAGCTGTGGGGTGGGGCCAAGGCAAGTCATGGAGCTGCCCGGTGCAAGGTCCCACTGGACAGTCAGCTCAGCAGTTGGCATTCCACGGGGGTCAGGGCTGGGCTGGAGGCTGGGGACCCCACAGATGGGGCCTCACACCCTGGACTACAGATGACATTACTTACGCAGTGGCGGGAGGGAATGGGGAGGAAAAAGGGCCGGCTCTCAGGGCCCTGTCGCTGGTTAACTGTGCATGTTAAATGGACTAGGGCCTAGCACATGGCACCCCGCCACCCACAGCTGACATGGGTGGGTGGGTGGTGCCGCTGTCCTCATCTTTATCACTGGGGCAGGTCAGTGGGGGCGGCCGATGGATGCTCCCACCCTGTCGCCTGGCCACCCCTGCCCAGGGTGAAAAACCTTGTGGAGAGACAGGCCAGTGCTTACTCACCATCCTCCCTCCCATCTCCTTCCACTTCCTCCGGGGGCAGGTCCTAGAGCTACTGAAGGTGGCCTGGAAAAGGCGGCTTATCTTCACAGTGGGCACGTCCAGCACCACAGGCGAGACTGACACGGTGGTGTGGAACGAGATCCACCACAAGACCGAGATGGACCGCAACGTGACGGGCCACGGCTACCCCGACCCCAACTACCTGCAGAACGTGCTGGCTGAGCTGGCTGCTCAGGGGGTGACTGAGGACTGCCTGGAGCAGCAGTGACCCGCCAGCCTGGCAGCCAGTGCCCCGTCCCCGCTGCCAGCCGGGCTGCCCTGGGATGGACAGGCAGGAAGGTGCCTTTCCTCGGAGGCTGAAATGTTTGTTGGGGAGGGTGGGCATTTTCCACCGGAGCTGGGGCTTCTCCCGTTTGCCTTTCCTCCTTCCTCTCCCCTTCCAGGCCTGGATCTGCATGGGAATTGGGCAAGCCTGGGGAGTTGTTCTTGTGGGGGCTTACGACGCAGCTACCTCAGTGCTGGGGGCCTGGCGTGGGCTGAGGGGAGATGGCCCCAGCCCCAGTCGGGGGCCGGCATGGGTCTGGGTCAGCTTCTCATACCTCAGATGTTCTGTTTGCAATAAATGCCTAATAGCCAAAGTCAGCAGTTCCTGGCGTGTTTGTCAGCGTGCGTGATGCCTGCCCACGTGTGTCCTGCTGTGTCAGCTCCCATTTCCTGCGTGCAGACTGAGGCCGGCCCTGGCCAGGCACCTCAGTGGTTAGAGCACTGTCCTGGGCCACTGAGGCTGCAGGTGAGATCCCCGGTCAGCACGCACAAGAATCAGCCGATGGTTGCACAAATCAGTGGAACAACACATTGATCTCTCTCTCTCTTTCTTTCTCTCTCTGTCTCTCTCTGTCTGTCTCTCTCTGTCTCTCTCTCTGTCTTCCTTTCTCTCTCAAATCAACTTAAAAAATTCAAAACCAAACAAAAAAACAGGCTGCAGGGAGGGCTGGAGAGCCCACGGCACTAACCTGCGCTGTTCCCCAGCCCCCACTCCAGTTCTCGTGGTGTAAAGTCCAGCGACTCAGGGCCCGCCCTCCTGTACTCCCCAGGTTCTGGGGACACTGCTCACAGGGGGCAGGTGCTGCTGTCTCCATTTCACAGGTGGGGAAACAGGCTCAGGGGCGTGACTAGCCCAAGGTCCCAGCTAGTGGTGGACCCAGAGCTGAAATCTGGACCAGGATTGGTTTGATACCATCTTCAAAGTTCTAATTCTTCGGCATCCTCTCAGAGGGAGGATCAAATACTCCGTCACTTGCCGTCTGCCGGCGGGGTGGGGGCGGGGAGTGCGTGAGGCCTGAGACCGGAGGCACACACAGGGCCGTGTTTTGAGTGGGTCTGGGGCACTTTCGCCTTTGCAAGTCCATTTCTCCATAAGAATGAAAAGTTCAATTCTGGGTCTTACAATGTGACTGTGCAAAGATGAACATACGTTAGAGCATTTTCTCCCATCTGAAAGTTCACTTTTTTCCTTCTGATTTTAAAAGAAATCAATCAAGACTTTTCCCGGGCTCCTAAAGGTATCGCGGGCCCTGCACACTGCTCGCTGAGCCTCCTGGAGGAGCTGGTCCTGGGGTGGGCGGGGCCTGGCGGTTCCACGGCACTGGGTTCCACGATGAGACTTGCTCCCCGGCTGCCAGAGCACAGATGTCAGTGGGCGCCCGATGCAGGTGCCCGATGCCGCTGCCCTCTGGACTCCCACATTAAAGTGTAATGGGGGTCGGAGTGGAGAAAATGCAGAATCTACCTGATAAGGGTCTAGTGTCCAGACTGTGTAAGGAACTCAACAACTCAGTAATAAAAAGACAAATACCCAATGTTTTTAAAACAAAGTCCTGGCAGGTGTGACTCCTGCAAACTGAAAACTGTGGCTTCGATCCCCAGCCAGGGCACATGCCTGGGTTGCGGGTTCAGTCCCTGATCGGGGTGCATACAAGAGGCCACCGACTGATGTTTCTCACGTCAATATTTCTCTCCCTCTCCCTCCTTTCCCTCTCTCAAATCAATGAGCATGTCCTTGGATGAGGATTTTTTTAAAAAGCAAGCAAAGGGCATTTCTCCAAAGAAGACACACAGACAGATGACAGGCACGTGATAAGTGCTCCACGTCATCGGGGAAACAGAGATCACAGCCTCGAAGTGACACCTCTTCGTAGCCACGAGAGTGGTTATCATCAATAAATAAAAGGAAAATGACAATGTTGATGCAGATGTGGAGAGTCAGAGCTCTTGTCTGCTGCTGGTCGGAGTGTGAATACAGCTGCTTAGGAGAACAGCTAGGCAGTTTCTCAAGAAGCGATCACCATGTGACCAAGCAGTTCCACTCCTAGGTTCTTATCCAGGAACTGGAAACATGTCCACACCAAAACAGGAATGTTCATACCAATATTATTCATGATAGCCCAAAACTGGAAAACCCCAAGTATCCCCCAGCTGACGAGTGGATAAACCAAATGGTCTATCCATACAGTGCAGCACACTCAGCCCTAAAATCGAAGCGCTTCCCCGGCCGGTGGCTCGGTTGGCGGGAGCATCGTTCCAAGCACCGGAACCTCGTGGGCTCGCTCTGGTCAGGGCGCATGCCTAGGTGGCGTGTTCCATCTCTGATCAGGGCACTGTGGTACGGGAGGCAACCAACGGGTGTTTCTCACATCGATGTTTCTCTCCCTTTCTCTTAAAATCAATAAAAGTATGTCCTCAGGTGAGGATTTAAAAAAAATGTACTGCCATACACAGCACAGATGAACCTTGAAAACATCATGCCAAGTGAAAGAAGCCAGACATGACACGGGAGGCCACGCACCGCGTGATCCCCCTGATGTGAAATGTCTGGAACAGGCAAATCCACGCAGGCAGAAAGGCGAGGGGTTCCCAGAGGGAGGAGGGGAGGGGAAGTGGCCTTTCATGGGTGCTGTGTTTTCTCTCGGGATGATGAAAAGTCTCTGGGATTGGGGTTGATGGCACGGCCCTGCGAATGTGCTAAAAACCAGTGAACTGTACACTGAAGGGTGAATTGTATGATATATGAATTATATCAGTAAATATATATATATATATATATATACTCACAAAGAGAGGCAAAAGTATGTTCGTATGGAAAATATACAAAAATAGAAAATAATATAAGAATAAACTTTCACTTACAACTGTAAACCCACTTTTGCCCACCCACATATACAGTGAGAACTGAAGGGAATAATTGATGCAAGTGGAGGCTCGCCAGCTGTCAAGGGCCCTACAGACCTTTCTCTAAGTTCTTCCCTTGGAGGAGGGAACTGAGGAGCGAGGGAAGGTGTGGCTTCGAGGAGGGAGGGCAGGGCACCAGACGGCGGCAGAGCCAAGTGCCTGTAAGGGCTGGATCAGACAGGTTGTGAGGGGGTCATGATGGGGGTGGGACTGGACTAGTTGGAGCTGCCCCCGGCTTGCTGCTGGGTGGGGATGGAAGGCTAGAGGGAGTCTCCTGGCACATGGGGTGCAGGAATCTCAGGCATGTGGCTCTGGGCCCAAGGTTCCAGATATTTGGTCTCCCCAGGGATGGGAGAATGGGAGGCTGGGTGGGGCCTAAACTGAGACAGGGGATTCTGGGCTCCAGCGGCCTCCCCCTCAGCCCTGGCCAGCCCCACCCTAGAGCCCTGCCCAGTCCCCTCCCTGTGGGGGGCTGGGCTGAGGGGAGGAGTTGGGGTTCGTTCACATTTTCAGGTCTTTCCAGCCCCTGGCCAGCCTGGCAGCCGGACAAACCAGCTCCTCCAGGCCCAAGGCGTTGGGGGAGGGGTGCGGCAGAGGGGCAGTGGGAGCAGCCCCAGGCTGCGGGTGTGGTGGAAGGCGGCCATCATGGGGTTCTCCCAGAGGCAGCCTCGCCCGTGGCTGCTGCTCCTGTTGGAGGCGCTGGTCTGGCACCAGCCCTGCATGAACCTGGGTGAGTGGGGGTCCAGGGATTGGACACACCTGTGGGGCACCTGCTGGAGTGATGGGACCCCGGGAGCCCACGTCCTGTGATCGGGAGGGGCAGCCCCCGGACCCTCACGCCTATCTCCATGGCCGCAGAGCTGATCCCCTACACGCCGCAGATAACAGCCTGGGACCTGGAAGGGAAGGTGACGGCCACCACGTTTTCCTTGGAGCAGCCGCGCTGTGTGCTGGACAGTCACGCCAGTGCTGCCAGCACTGTCTGGCTGGTGGTGGCCTTCAGCAATGGTGTGTCACAGCGTAGGTGTGGGGCCTGGGGTGGGGGGCTGCAGGAGCTGCAGGTTCTGGGGGCCCCTCCATCCCTGTGACCTTCCACAGCCGGGTGTGGGTTAGGAGTTGGGCTTTACAGAGAGGGTGCTCTGAGAGGGCGACAAAGCCCATTTTGGGCCGTAGGGGCCCTCTGGGTGCTGAGGCACGGAGGGCCAGGGCTGGGGTCCTCGGCCCCAGACAGGGGTCGTGGCAAAGGAGACCTGGCTGTTCCTGCCACCAGCCCCGTCTGTCTGTCTGTCTCTGCCTCCTGCAGCCTCCAGGGACTTCCAGAACCCAACGACGCTGGCTGCGATCCCAGCCTCTCCTCAGCTGCTGACCACTGATGGCCACTACATGACGCTGCCCTTGTCCCTGGAGCAGCTGCCCTGCAAGGAGGATCCCGTGGGTGACAGCAGCATCCCCGTGTTGCGGGTGGGCAATGACCCCGACTGCCTGGCTGGCCTCCACCAGCCAGCCTACTGCAATGCCCCCCTCCCGGGCCCCGGACCGTACAGGTGGGTCACTCTGCCTGGAGCCTGGGACCCAAGGGTTGCCCTCCCTGGCCTTTCCCCAGCCCCATCCTGGCTGCAGGGGAAACAGGCCCTTCCCATTTGTAAGCCTTGGCTGCTTCCTCTGGGGTCGGGGGAGGGGATTGGGTGGAGGTGGGGCAAAGGAACCGAGGCACAGAAGCTGCAAGTGACTTGTCGAGGTCAGGGAAGTGCAGGGTGGGAAAGCAGGGCTGTCCAGACCGGGCTGTGCAGGGCACAGGATGAGGCCGGGTGCCCTCAGGGAGACCAAGGCCAGCTGGGAGAACCAGCGGGGGGCACAGAGTAGGCAGTGTGGTGGGGGCGGGGCCCACACCTCCACACTGCCTCCCTCTGCCCTCTCACCCAGCCTTGCCAGGTCTACTTCCCCTCAGCCCCAGGCCCACTCCCGGGCTTGACCTCCACCCCCAGCAGCCACCAGAGCCAGCTTCCCTCAGTGCCAGCCTGCCTGGGGCTCTCAATGCTCAGAAACCTTCCAGAGCTCCCCAGCCCCTGCAAAGATACAACCTGAGCTCCTCTGCACGGCCCTTGGTGCCCTCAGTGCCAGTCCCCCCACCATGACCCTGGGCTCTGAGTGCACCCTGAATACACCGCTCCCTCCCTAGGCCTTTACCTGGGGTGCTTACCTTTACTGGGGGGCTTCCATGGCTTCAGAGACTCCACAGGGCCAGAGGTTCTCCTCTGTGGGGCCCGGTGCCCCCAGCCCATACACCTGCTGAGCCAACGCTCAGAGCCTGGCCCAGAAGAGTGGCCTGGAGCCTGGCTGTGGCCGTTGCCCTGCCTGGGGCGGTTGGGCTCTGAGCCTCATCCCTCCTCCACTTCCCAGGGTGAAGTTCCTCCTGATGGACGCCAGGGGCTCACCCCAGGCCGAAACCAGATGGTCGGACCCCATCACTCTCCACCAAGGTAGCACTGGGGAGGGGGCTTTCTGGCTCCAGGCTGTCCCTTGGAGACTCATCACCCTGGGCGAAATGGTCATGTCCAGCTGCCCCCCTCCCGTCGCTGCTATGGGATGGGGGCTGGTGGCAGTATTCAAGTCCAGCTGACCCTCCACACAGAACCTTGTGCTGGGGGGCGGGGCACGCGGCAGGGGCACGGGCTCTGTCCATCTCCAAATGCTTGCCAGGTCTCTGTCCATCTCCAAATGGTTGCCAGCTCTCGGTAGCCCAGACCCCAGCCCAGTTGAGGGCAGAAACAGCCCTCCCTCTTACAGGGAGGCAGCCCGGGGCCCAGCACTGCCTCAGGGAGGAGGGTCAGGGCAAGAAGGAGGCCAGAGTCAGCCAGGGCTACAGGTTCTGGGAGGCTTCCCTCAGCAGGGCCCCGAGAAGCCAGCATGAATGAGTCACCAGGCCAAAGAAACTGCACTGTGAAGGCCAGAATGTCCGGTGTCTGGACGCCTGGGAGACGGGCTGCCGAAGCTGGGGGTGGCAGTGGCGGCTTGTTGTCTGAAGGCCTTGCATGCCAGGCCCCAGGGAGCAGGGCAGCCTCGTGGCCAGTCCCGAGGTCTGCTGCCACTGCTCTGCCCACCATGGAGCCACGGGTGGGCATGTTGGTGGGAATAGCCTAGAAGGTGAGACGAGGGTGGGGGTTGGAGCCATGGGCGGTGCAGGCTACCAGGCACCAGTGCCCATCTGAGATGGGTGGGCTCAGGAGGCTGTGGACGAGAGGGAGCCAGGCCTCCGGGGCGAGCACGGGTGGAGGGTGACTGCCCTGGGGTCCCAGGGCAGCCTCTGAGCAGCCACTGTGTGTGCAGGGAAATCCCCAGGCTCCATCGACACGTGGCCAGGGCGGCGACATGGTGACATGATTGTCATCACCTCCATCCTCTCCTCTCTGGCCGGCCTGCTGCTCCTGGCCTTCCTGGCAGCCTCCACTGTGCGCTTGTGAGTGGTGACACGCCCAGGGCCCTCTGCCCACCTGGAACCCCCTGGAAGGCCTCCCTGACCCTGTGGTTTTGAGCTGGGCAGTGTCCCTGGAAGGGCTGTGTGGGGAATTTCCACCCGGGGCAGCTCCTCCAACCACAGGTTCAGAGGAGGGGCCACCTGCCTCTGCTCCTCTCCGCCAGTGTGGGGAGAGGCCACAGTGTGGCCTTTGCTTCAGCCTAGTCCTCCTGGGCCGCATTTCTTTCCACAAGCCCTCTGTCATTTCAGTGAATTGACATCTGTGTATTCAGGGTGGCCACCTGGAGGAGGCAGGCCTCCAGCTTGTTCTAGAAGGGAGGAAAGGGAGATGGAGGCTGCGGGAAGAGGAGCGTGGGAGTGGGGACCAGATCCTGCCCAGGCAGCCAGCTCCACCCAGCAGGGCCATAGCTCCTCCTCCTCTCCCATTCTAGCTCCAGCCTGTGGTGGCCTGAGGAAGCCCCTGAGCAGCTTCGGATTGGCTCCTTCAGGGGCAAGCGCTACATGACCCACCACATCCCGCCCAGTGAAGCTGCCACCCTGCCGGTGGGCTGCGAGCTGGGCCTGGACCCCTTCCCCAGCCTCAGCCCTTAGCCTGGCCTGTGTGCCTGGCGCTGGGGCAGGGAAGGGAGGGGAGGGAGAGACATGGGCAGAGTGCTCCTCCTCAGCCCTTGCGCCCACGCGCCCTCCCCTGTCACACTTCCCCCTGCCTGAAATCCCTCCGCCGGCAGCCCTGACTGGCTTTCCCATTTCCCGCTCTCTCAGGCAACTGAAGCTGCATGCAGGGGAGTTTGGGTGAGGGCCACAGTCAGGCTGGGCCTCCAGCCCCCACCGCCCTCCCTACCTCTGTTCTGCACATCCTCCTGTGAGTCAGGATGGAAAGGCCACCCTGACTGGAAGCTTCCAGGCCCCGGGGGAGGCCTAGAGCAGACCTAGGAAGCTGGACTGGGACCACCATGGGAGTGTGGGGCCTGAGCCTCCCCGGTCTCCGTCCCGCCGGCCAGTGGCTGGGGCTGCAGTGAAGCCGTCAGGGGCATCTTCCCTGTCCCTGGGCACAGGCCCTTCTTGAGCGTGGCTAGAAGGTCAGAGTGTAGATGCACCTTATGACCGTGTGGCCACTGATTTGGGCCACCACTTCCAACTCCCCTGCACACACAGAGGGCCCTCGCACTTACCTACTCACTGTCACTCCACAAACTTGTTGAGTGCCTACTGCATGCCAAGCACACTGTTAGACATGTGGCCTCAGGCAGGTCTTGGGGAGCTCACTCACTGCTCTGGACCTCAAACGGCAATATGTCCAGATGTGACCTGTTACCGTTGAGAGGCTGTCGCGCCCTCAGATTGTCACATACACTGGGCCTCACACTCCCTCAGACAATCACCCCAATGGGCTCTCTTGGGTCCACAATCACCCCCCACCTGCAGTCACTGGAGGACAGGTTTCATTCCCCCAGCGTCTGTCTGCCCATAAGGCTGGTGTTACCCTCTGTGGCCACACGAGGGCGACCAGTGCACCGCAGATCTTGCCGAACAGTCCAGCATGAGCACTCCCATTCGCGGACCTGCAGGGCGCCGCTCCCACCCGGTAACCCGACGGTCAAAGAGCAGCACCACTCAGCAGGGTCTCTGGAGGTCAGGGCTCCAGGCCCCACTTCGATCACGCCAGAGGGATAAGCAGTTGCGCTCCTCTTGTCCAATCCACGCAGCCTCACCGTTTTCTAGATGGAGAAACAAGCTCAGTGACTTGCCCACTGCGCTGTCCACTGCTACCCCACACGCTGGCCCCTGGCCCCTGACCCCTCTAGCCTGACTGCAGTGCCTGCGGGCCGGTGGCGGGGGGCAGAGGGGTAGGTAAATAAATGCTGTCTGCCTTTTCTGCCTTTTCAGCAGTTCTTGTGCTGGTTTTGGAAGAGGAGTATTTACACACGGGGCTCAGCCTGGCCTTGCTCTGCCCAGCCCTGCCCGCCACCAGGTCCAGGGGTGCCCTGAGCCTGCCCCCTTGATTGCTAGTCCTAACTGTGTTTCGGGGGTGCCCTCATGTCCTGTCGGGCCCTGGGGAAACCCACCCACGTACTGCAGGGCCAGGAAGCCAGCTACTGAGCATTTCTGGGCATTTAGTCATGCTCCATTCCAGGCAAACTCTTCAGGGGAGTCTTTGCTTTCAAATCCAATGCACACCTGGGCCCTGGTGGCCTTCCCCTTATCCTGCCTGCACCTCCACCAGCTGCAAGACCCCCTCCAGGTGCAGACAGAAGCAGAGTCAAACGCACCCAGGAGGTCAGGCCCTGGTGTCCTGGGTAACATCTGGCCATGGGAGCCAGCCCCTTTGGGCAGCCACCTTTGAAACGCTAATGCTTTGGAGCCCAGGTCCTTCTTGACCTCTTGGAATTGCAGGAGGGTTAAAAGCTCCCCAACCTCACCCTCCCCGGCTGCCCCCAGCAGACCCCGTCTCACACTGTCCTGTTCAGACCTGGTTCCAACACCAGATGACAGGCCCTCCAGGTCCAGGATGTGCAGCTTGGGGCCTGCCCGGGAGGGTGCTCTGGGGGGTGGCGGGGGGGGCGTTGCTGGCGTCTGCTGAGTGAAAGTGTGAACACACCCCACAGAGCAGGAGGGTGAGCCGGGAGGAGAGGTCACTCCAGGCTCTTCCATGTCCCAGGGCCTCTGCTGGCTTGTTCTCAGTGCCAGAATCTGACCCCAGGCACAGCCCCAGTGACACGCTGGGCATGCCTGGGGTGCCCCTTGTTTCTGAGCAGACCCCCACCCAGCCCTCTGACGAGCTGCTCTCCCATCTGGCCTCCCAGGCTCGACCAGGCTCTAAACAGGCATCACAACCTATGGGTGAGGACCAAGAAGGGGCTGGAGAGCCCGGGGGAGGCAGCTGACCCCACGAGAGGGTCAAGGGGGCTTCCTAGTGGCAATTTCTGAGTCGAGTCTTGAGAGGCAAAGGGAAGTTAGTCAAGTAGAGAGGAAAGGAGGGAGGAAGGAGATGAGACCATCTTGCCCCGTGGTGGCTCAGATGGTGCCTGGGTCGGTGGGGGCGGGGGGGAGGCACGGACTGGGGGCTGCGAGGCCAATGAAAGAGGCTGTCCTGGCCTTCCAAGCAGATGAAACGAGCCCTGAACCAGGGCAGACAAAGGGGCTTGGAGAGGAAGAGGTGGATTCTAGAAACATTCAAGAGGTGGCAGGAGGAACTGGGGGCTTCTTAGATGTGGGAGGTGAGGCAGGAGGAGAAGGCTCTGTCGGGGGTTTTGATGTGACGGTGGGTGTGAATGTGAAACGGAGGCCCTCACGCTCTGAGAGTGGCTACATCAGCCCAGCTCACTCCAGCAGATCCCCAGAAAAGGAAGGACTGGGGCCCTCATCTTAGCAGCTGGGTTAGTCCACAAGCAAATCAACAGATTGTTAATATTTTACAACGATGGAGGCCGCCCCCTGGCAGCAGGAGCCCGCCCTGCCAGCCTGTGTGACTGTGGCCCCAGAGCTGAGCTGGCAAGCACGCCAGAGTGTCACTGAATCCACAACGCCAGGGTCGGCGGGATCGGTCATCCCCGCCGCAGGATCGGTCATCCCCGCCGCAGGAGCGGTCACGCCGGGCCCCAGGCGGCTGTGCCAGGGCATTCTGCCCCAGTCACGCTCCAGAGAGGGGGCCATCAGCTGACCCCAGTGCTTCGTGGGCCAGCTCATGGCAGCCCTGAGCAGAGCACCTAGTGACAGCTGTGTTGTGGAGAATCTTTTATTCAATGGAGTTTTAGAGACTCTTTTATTAAATGGCATTTAAAATTTTCCCCAGGGCTGTATTTGGGGAAGCATCTCCAAATCCATTGGCCCATAACATAATGGCTCAGCGATGAAAAACAAGTTCACTGTTGAAGAGGAAAAAAAAACCAGTGATGACTGCGGGGGTGATGACTCGCAGGTGACTCATCAGACCTAAAATCAAAGGAACCAGAATGACAGCAGGTGGAAACCAGGCAGCCAGGTCTCTTGCTGGGATGTCAGTGGCCGCCTGTTGCTGGTCTCCCCACCGCCACCCTGCTGCCAGCACCCAGAGGGACCCGATCACAAACCCGGTGGTGTCACACCGCTGCTCACAGCTCTCAGAGACTTCCTACCGTAAGAACAGGGTCTGGATTCACCATTTCAGTCACGGGGCCCCATGGTCCACCCCCTCCCCCTGAGCTCCAGCCACACGGGCCGCAGGGCCTTTGCACTCGCTTCTCTCTCCGACTGGAGCCCTTCCGCCCCACTCCCCGCCCCCGCTCGCTCCCTTCTTCAGGGGAGCCCTCCCCCACCACTCAGCTCTCCTAAGCTGTGTTCTTCTCCTCCTCTGCACATTTTCCATTTTGCAATTAGACATTCAAAATGGTGAGCTTTTGCATCTCCCCCACCAAACTGTGACCTTAGCGGGGCAGAAACTGACCGCATCTGGTTTGCTCACCAGGGCGCTCCCAGAGCCAGCACAGTGCCCAGCCCTCAGGGGAGCTTAATAAACAATTGTTGACTGAATGCTTTATAAAAGGCACTTTGCACTTTTTTAATATCAGTTTTATGGAGATATAATTCAATAGACCTATTTAAAGTGTGCAATTCAACGGTTTTTAGTGTTCAGAATCGTACCACTACCAACTTCAGAACCATTTAAGCCCTGCACCCACTAACTGGCCACTCCCCATCCCTCTCTGGCCTCCCTTGGTCCCTGGCAACCAACCCCTCACCTACTTTCCAGACATTTCACAGTCGTGGAATCACACAATATGTGATCCTTAGTGACTGGCTCGTTTTCCATGGAGTGCAGTTTGGGGGGAGAGGGAGGGAACAGGAGCCCCGGCACTGCCTGTCGTGGGCGGTTCCTCTCACTCGGCTGAATCGTCCGCCACCCTTTCCGACTGGGCAGAACCGCAGTCTGGTGTCCAGTCTCCGGGGAAAGCAGGGTCTCTTTCGCCCAGGGTGTACAGGACATGTATCAGGGGGGCTCAGGGGCCCAAGCCCCACCCACCTCCCCCTCCTGCCACCACCCGCTGTATGTATTCTCAGCTGCACACAGCAAGAACCAGCCTTGGAGGGCTGGGTGGGATAGGACTATTTGGGAGGAGATCAGGGAGCTCCTGGAGGCCACATCACCTCAGCAATCCTGGCGCAAAAGAATGCTGCCTTTCCTGGACCTGCCACACGAGTTTCTGGGACCTGGCCATGGTGGCCACGGCCCTGGCCACAACGGACTGGCCACGGCACCCTATTCCTTGTCTGGTGTGGGTGCATGCCTGGTGGGCACCCGCTCTGGCAGCTGCAGCGAGGGATGGGCCGTGCACAGGGGGCTCAGGCGTGGTGAAGGGCCAAGTCCACCTGGAGAAGGGACGCCCTGTTGCGACTCCCTCAAAGACATCAGACGGGTAGTGCTGGCTCTGGGGACACGCGGCAGGAAGGCAGTGTCCACGCAGGAGGAGCGTGTGGCAGGAGCTGAGTGGTCAGAAAGAATGGCGACTGTCCCCATGCCTGGAGGCATGAGGAGTTCATGCTGGTCGGCAAGTTCCACTATAATGAAAGGATTTTCATCAAATGCTGGGTGTTCTTCAGAGTTCTGCTGGGGTTCGTGACTGTCTGCCTTCTGGGAAGTCCCCACTGCCAGTGTCGGGGAGAGGGAGGGCCCCAAAGATCAGCCCTGGGGCATGTCACACCCCACCCTCCAGCCTCAGTGTTCACGTCTGCATGGTGGGCACAGTGACCGTTGGCGCCCACGGCTGCTGTGAGCGGCCCCAATAGGAGGGGTTGGCAGGGCTGACGTGCAGATGCTCAGTTAATGAGTTTGTATACCTTCCTTTGAGATGTTTTTTTGTTATTTCAGAGGAAGATGAAGCTGTCACTTTGACCATTGGTGGCTGTCACCTCAGGGCTTCCCATCCCCTCCCCAGCATGGTGACATGAGGACCCCTCTGCGGAGCTAGAAGGAGGCCGGGGCACAGAAAGACCTCTCCACTCCTGCCCAGCCCACTGCCTCCCGGGGCGCCTGGAGCCCCCTACCGCACTGGGCCTGTGGTGGAGAGTGGGGCGGGTTCCGCCTTCTCAGGAGGGACCAGAATGGAACCGGAGCAGAGGGACACAGCCGCCCCTCACTGCTCACTCTGCAGCCTGCCCGGCCCACGCCCCTCCCCAGCGGTGGGGGAGGGGGAGGAATGGGGTGGCGTCGGGGGAGGGGGCACGCCCTACCGGGCAGGACAACAGTCCTGGAGACCTGGCCCAGAGACCCCACAGGCCGTGCTGAAGCCCGACCCCGGTCCTCAGGAACTGTCCTGCTCTCCAGGGACGCACACCCACTGTTACCAAATCCGGTTCCTCCCAATTCACGTGTGGAAATCGTAATCCCCGGTGCCTCAGGATGTGCCTTGGAGAGAGGGCCTTTAAAGAGATAACTAAGGCCTTCGGGGTGGGCCCTAATCCAATGACCACATCTCTATAAGGAAGAATCAGGACACAGAGACATGAGAAAGAAATTCCTGTTGTTTAGGCTGCCAGGTCTGTGGCGAGATGCTATGGCAGTTCAATCAGACCAATCACCCACCAGCTCGGTGTTCTGGGCATGTACGTTAATGGGGGTAGGGTGCGCAGAGCAGGTGGTCAGCGGTCAGCGCTGAGACCACGTCTCCCTGAGAGCCCACAGGCAGGCAGCAGGAGCTGCTTGCACAGAGGCTTGGAGGTGAGAAAGGGTCTGAGCAGCTTACGGCCTTCAGAGTGGACTTGGATGAGTGCAGGGGGAGCCAGCCCGCTCTCTGGCCCTGGCCCTGAGCGGCTCACCCTGGACCCTTGGCCCAGCCTTCTGGGCCACCTTCTCTCTGCCCTGTAACCAGAGAAGCCAGGAGCTGCTGCAGCCATGTGC